GTATCATATGATATTGGAAATATGGTTTTAATTTCCTAGAGGCGCTTATTAAAGCAAGCGCTAAGTTTTCTAAGTATGGATATCTAGTTTCGGCTTTGCCTAAGGTCAAACTGACATAATAAATAGGGAATTGCATACCTCGTTCTTCTCGAACCAAGACTCGACTTACCGCTATCTCCGAGACAGCTAAGTACAAGTAAAGTTGTTCGTTCACTTTCGGGGTATGAAGCAGAGGTGGGCTCGATAAATACTGCTTTAGTTCTTCCAAAGTGTGTTGGCATTCCGGAGTCCATACAAAGTTGCTTTTCTTATTAAGCAGTGGGAAAAATCGGTGGTTCCTATATGAGGATCTTGAAATGAATCGTCCCAAGGCGGCTATTCGCCCCGTTAACCTTTGCACGACCTTCACAGTATCCACTACCGTGATGTCCTCGATAGCTTTGATTTTATCGGGGTTGATTTCGATTCCTCGGTTGGATACCATGAAACCAAGAAACTTGCCCGAGCCAACCCCGAATGCATATTTTTTGGGGTTGAGCTTCATATTGTATTTCTTTAGCACGTCGAAAGTTTCCTGCAAATGCTTTAAATGGTCCTCTGCTCGCAGGGACTTAACTAACATGCCATCAATATAAACTTCCATTGATTTTCCTATTTGTTTTTCGAACATTCGATTTACTAGGCGTTAATAAGTTGCACCAACAATTTTTAGACCGAATGACATTACGTTATAACAATAGGTGCCATACTTAGTGACAAATAAGGTCTTTTTTTTATCCTCCGGGTTCATTTGTATTTGGTTGTACCCAGAGTATGCATCAAAAAAACTGAGAGTCTCATGGCCGGCCGTGTTTTTCTGAGCTCGGGATCTAACCACGTGCCCAGGTATACCTTTTGCTCGGGAAGATATTCGACTAGCGTGATTTTCTCCAATTCTTCGACCGTTGACTGGGTAGCATCGGTATCTTCGGGGACCACAAATGATCGAGGGATCTCAAAGTCATCGTCATCGTCTTTATCAGTCTTCTGATTCTCTAGTTGGGTTGAGGCTGACGTTTGTGATTGCTATTTGGTATCATGTTCACCCTTCGAATCTGATCCCTTTATCGATGATAGTGTGGATATCGGAATTACCTCATCGATGGAAAACATTTTTTTTGCGACCGGTTGCTCTCCATAGACTGTTTAGACTCCCTCCGATGTTGGGAATTTCAGAACCTGGTGGAGGGTCGAGGGTAAAACTCTCATATTGTGGATCCACGGTCTTCCAAAAAGAGCGTTATACCTCATGTCGCCTTCGATTATGTGGAACTTCGTTTCTTGGATGGTCCCGACCACGTTTATTGGCAGGATTATCTCTCCCTTAGTAGTTTCACATGCCATATTGAATCCGTTTAGAACCAGGGTTGCGGGCACGACCTGGTCCTGTAGACCGAGCTACTCTATGACCTTTGATCTAATAATGTTGGTCGAACTACCTGGATCAATTAACACACGCTTAACTTGAGTTTTATTCATAAGTACATATATTACCAGTGCATCGTTATGGGGTTGCATGATTCCTTCTGCGTCTTCATCACTAAAGGACACGGTTCCTTTAGGTGTGTAATCTTGAGATCGATTCTCTTTTTCAATCGATATCTTAGTGCGTTTAAGCTCCGGCCCATGGGGAATATCTATCCTACCAATGATCATGTGGATGATGTGTTGTGGCTCTTCTTGTTCGTTTTGTCTTCTGAATTCCCTGTTTTTGAAATGGTTTTTGGCCCAGTCACTTAAAAATTCTCAAAGGTGTCCTTTATTGAATAACCGGGCTACCTCCCCTCTCAATTGCTTGCAATCTTCCGTTCTGTGGCCATGGGTGCCATGATATTCGCACATTTGATTGGGATTCCTCTGGGTTGGATCGGTCTGCAAAGATCGAGGCCATTTAGTATCTTTGATGTGTCCAATAGCCGACACGATGGCGGATGCATCGATGTTAAAGTTATATTCCGATAACTGCGGTGCTTCCTTAGGTACAGTATGCCTGTCAAACCCATTCTTGTTCATCAACCCCCGAGACCCTTAGCCTCGATCACTTCTTTTATAGTTTTGTATGAGGTTACGTCTTGGTTCGTTACCCCTATAATCTCCATTATACGGCCGATATCAGTCCTTGATCAGCCTTTGTTCTCTTTTGATGTCCCTTTTAATAACATACCCATAACCCAACTGGTCGACTTCGACTCTAATCTTCGATTGGTACCGATTGTGAACATCGGCCCAGGTAACAGCTGGGTACTCGATCAGGTTCTGCTTAAACCATCGTGAAGCTATCGAGCTTCGTTCGTTCAGACCTTGAGTAAAAGCTTGAACAGCCCAATCGTCTGTGACTGGTGGTAGGTCCATTCGTTCCATTTGGAAACGAGATACGAATTCTCTCAGCATCTCGTTATCCTTTTGTCTTACCTTAAAAAGGTTTGACTTCCTAGTTTCGACCTTTATGGCTCCAACGTGTGCTTTTACGAAAGAATATGCAAGCATAGCAAAAGAATCGATAGAGTTAGACGGTAAATTATGATACCATATCATTGCTCCCTTCGACAGGGTTTCACCGAATATTTTCAATAATACAGATTCGATCTCGTCGTCCTCTAGATCGTTCCATTTAATGGCACATGTGTAAGATGTGACGTGTTCGTTGGGGTCGGTCATTCCATTATACTTATGTCGGTCATTCCATTATACTTAGGAATTTCGGGCATGTGTAACTTCTTGGGGATCGTTTTCGGAGCTGCGCTCGGGGGNTGATCAATCCTGGAGTTATACGTTTCCACCTTTTTGTCATTTGCTTCAATCCTCCTTTCCCCTTACTCTATTCATTTTGTTAGTTCCTCGAGCATCTTAACAATTTCGGGATTAGTCCCCGATTCTTGCTCATTTGACCTCACTACAACTGGTCCCATTTTGTGGGTGACTTCTTGGGGTGGACTGTGCTCGAGCCTGGTCGGTGCCTGGGTTTCGCTCTGCAACTGGGCTATTGCTACTTGTTGAGCTTGCAACATTTCGAAAATCATACGCTAGCTGATTCCGTTTTCCTTAGTGTTTTGGGTATTTGGAGCTGCAGATCGAGTTCCACCATGAATGTTATTTTTAGGGTCGGAACGTTGGTTTGCCTCGATGGCCACATGTGAGTTAACTTCTATTGGTTCTTCGACCCGAGCTCCAACAGGATTGACAAGTGGCCTTTCACCCCCGGGCGTTAAGTTGTTATTTTCATCTTGAAAGCCAGCTTCGTTGTCGATAGGTAGGGCCATTAATTGAAAATTCGTTGTTCTCAGCCTGAAATCAAAGACACTTCCAAGAGCAAGTGTAAAATAGTATGTTTCACAAAGATTCGTATCAAATAACCACTATTATACTTATCCTCACGGTGGGCGCCAAACTGTTTACCCGAAAAACGGATAAAGTTGAATTTATACGTAGTTCTAAAGATACACAGTATAACTTGGTACAAATAGGAAAAGTAGATTGAAATATGTATCAGATATTAACTGTAAAAAAGGGATGGAATACAAACCAAATTGAGTAAAGAACGATTTACAAACAAGCAAGATGAATCAGTATCCAAACTCAATAAAGGATAATCTCAACTGTATATTAATGTAATAATCTTTAGAATGTGAATATATCAATGTTTTCTTCTCAAGATGTTGAATACCCTGCTTACAAAAATGATACCCACTCCGATTATAGTGGAAAAATCATGCTTTGGATATAATAAAAAATACATAGTGGAGATCCCATGATAGATTATTTAATTTGTTTTTCCTTAATTTCCGCCGAGATTCTCTCCCTAAGTGCGGCTACAACGGCTCTTTGTCTCATAGCTCGATCTTGGTTGGCCTTGGTACTGATCGATCTCCGAGTCTCGAGCTCGATATCGACTCGCGCTCGATATTGACTCGGGCTCGGTATTTGACTCGAACTCGATATCGACTTGGGCTCGGTATTGACTCGAGCTCGATATTGACTTCGAGCTTGGTATTGAATCGAGCTCGGTATTGATCGGTCCGTGAATTTTGGGTCTCATAACCTGACTTTGGGTCTTATCTTGATATTATGAAGACGACCCTCGGTCCATCATGTTCCAATCTCGACTAATTACACGAAAGGCAAAACTGATTTTGACCGTATACCATTCTTCTTTTAAAACCCCACCAACAACAAAGACTCAATATGTAAAAGCCAATCCATTTCTGGTCCCGTAAAAGATCCTCTCATTCCTCTATATTCATAAAATATAGTTGTCACATAACTATTTTTTGTACAATTTTGTGTTACAGATAAAGAAGGTGATAAAATGCACATTAAATTGGAAAAAATAAACAAAAGCATGCTACCACCGAAGAGTGTTGTAATAAGGGGAGATTTGCAAAAATAGGGTTATTTAAAGGTGCCGTTTAAATTTCTGCCCCATTAGAAAAAGTTTTGAGAAAATAGCTTCCGCGTCAGAATTTTGAATAGTCTGTTTAGTTTGTAGAAGGAATAATTTAATCACCAAACTAAACTCTGTTTAACTATATACAAAAAAAAATTGGTAATGAATTATATACATTGTTTGGTTGCATTTTTAGTTTTCTGCATAAAATAATAGTACCTGTATAAGTTTAACGGAAATTTATGTATTATTTTATATAGTATAAAATAAGATTTCAGTTGTGAGGTTAAAAAGTTTATCTCAACTTTTGAAACTTTACCTTAAATTGGTGCCATTTACTGATTTGAATTTTCATTGTCAGAAAGCAATAACATTATATTATACTGTAATGATACATCAGTATACACACTGTCTCAACAAAGACCAAACAAATTGGAGAAAAAAGTACTGTAAATAAATTCTCTCAATCCATAAAGCAAAAAGAGTAAAAGCTGAATTTACTGCCTTACCTCTCTCTGTCCCTCTTGTCTTTATATCTGAGCTTTGTCCTCTTTCTCTGTTTCTCACCTTTTTTCTACAGTTAAGGAGTAATATCTCTTTGAATTTTCTCTATTCTCTTCTCTCTCTTTTTTTCCTTTAAAAGCCCACCAACAACAAATGGAAAACTCATTTCAGGCTCCTTTAAAAGATCCTCCCATTCCCTCTTCATATTTATAAAATGAGTCAACTTTGATCAATATTAAATATTCTACTGGTTTCTTTGCTATAACACCAAAATGGATGTAAGTAACTCGTAATCTCTTCTTTAATTTCCCGTTTGTTTTTTTAATTAGATTATTCCAGGAAATGACATATTGTCACCTTATATCATTTTAAGGTTGTTTTTTAAGGTTGACTTACTGGAAAGTCCATTTTTTTCATATGATATCAGAGTTCTAACTCATCCATATTACTTGTGGTTTTAATGTCAGGGCTATGTTTTATGATATACACAGTCCAATTTATAACCTAACTTTTCAGCTTTAGTTAGGTCAAATATCCATTTTTGTTATCATTTTGAACATGAGTTTATGTTCTTGATTTTTATTTCTTTTTGGTTCAAAACAGGAGAGCAACTACTACTTTAAGAGAAGCCATGTTCCAGCATTTGGTAGCTGGGATTGTAACGATAATGAAATTCCAATTCCTTTTACAGAGTGTTTTGAATCAGCTAGGCAAGCTAGTTTGTTTCACTACAGCTATTCTCAAGACTCTGATTTGTATGTCACTGGTGATCTTTACCACAATGATATTGTTACACCTACCATGATCGTTGTACCTCGTCGTAAGGTAATTTTACTAACTACACAGTGTAATTTTTCGGCAAAAAAAAGTATTTATTAACCCTTGAACAAAGGTGGCTCCGCCACTTATGAGCATTAGCTTCTTAGCTTATTTCTTTGTTATAGCCTATAAAAGCGGATTCAAGATTTAAATTTTATGGGTTCAATCTCAAATTTTAGCATTCAACCTGTTATATTTTAAAGTTATGTATTCATATCTACTACTTAATTTGTTGCAGTTTTAATAAATTTTTGCACATAATTATACTCTGCGTCAATAGTACTTAATCCGGTATCGTAAGGCTGGGTACGTCCCTGTAGCCAATGGCATAGCCATCTTTGTCCAAGAGATTGATACCCTTTTGTTAGAAAATTATAATGTGTAGCTAGATAAGTATATTGAAATCCCTTTTCTTTATATGTGGTTACTTTTTTGAATTTTGACAACCCTTTGTGTGAAATTCGTGGATACGCCACTTGTTATATCCATTCCATTCAAGAATTAAATTAGTTCAACAAGCTTAGGTTACTATTGGATGTGATTTTCTCCGGATATATCCTTTGTTTATAGTATATGAAGTGCAAAAGTTAACTGTAAAATTATGATGGGCAGAAAAAGGCAAGTTACAAAGAAGAAAGAAAAGATGCATGGGTGGTGTGTGATTTTGAGAAAGAAGCACCAAGCCCTGTTCCTATATCTCCTCCAACAGCTAAAAGTGTGCCCAAAAATCCTATTGATGAAGATCTCTACAAGATTTCCCCTGAGTTGCTCTATGCTAAGCCTACAAGGGTAGGTCCTTATAACTACTAATAAGCTAAGTGTGTTCTGTCGAACCTGTGACTTACTGACTTATGTGAACTCGTAACCTTTATTGTTAATCCGCTCTTGCGTCTATCCTTATCACAAGCACTACTAGCGGCGACCTAGACCTTGGTGCCGCTAGTAGTGATTGCTGATGAGCAAATTGTATCAAAGTTGTAAACGGGTCGAACAAAAATCGGGTTCAAATATAATAATTGTTGAGATTTTAGTAGATTTTACATATATATATATNCATTCACGTTACCAGAAATGAAGGGACTTTTTGTGGGTCAAAAACTGAAAGTGATCGCCATTCTTCTTTTGTGGTGTCAAACCATCTGATGAATTATTCTGAAGTGACGGTGCTTAAAGTGGTAATCTTTTTGACAGGGAAAAAGCAAAGATAAGAGTGGTTGATGAGTTCTAACGAAAATGCTACTAGTAAAGTTGATCACTTTTTGGTTTATTTTAAAGATTTTTATTGCACTGCATGTTAAAGTTTAATTCACAAGATAATAGAAAAAAGAATTTTTGAAAACTCCTTTTCCTGAGATTACTATATGCAACCTTATTTAAGTGTGAATATTTTTCCTTGTGCTAAACTTTTTCCTTTAATTTATTTAAATTCTTTGCAGAAGGGCGTCCGGGCTATCATCTCGAGCTGTTTGCGGCCTGCTTGTGCTTGTTGAACCTGGTGGAATAATCTTAATCAGAAGAAGAGAACATCCAGAGAGTTAGAACGTGTAGTTTGGAGTATTTTGTTGGGTTTAAACCAGTAAAAAGTGGCCCCAAAAACAAGATAGAATCTTCTCTTTTCTTATATATATTGCTAAACGTATGTTTCTTCTTGGAAGTATTTTGATGTCCTAGTACTATACTAGTGTTGAAGGGGAGCAAAGTTGTGTTCGTTGATTTATAGGTCACGGATTCAAGTCGTGGAATCAGCCATTGATGCTTGCATTAGGGTAGATTACCTACATCATACATCCTTGAATACGGTATTTTCCCGAATCATATATAAATGCAAAATGTTTCGTGCACCGGATTACCTTTTAGTACTTATACTAGTGTTGGCTTTTGTAATTTAAAAAATTACGAGGTACTGTATTGAGAGGTGGCATTACAAGCATAGATTAATGTATGCGAAAAATGAGAAATCTCTCCCTCGCGTCTTTATTTATGGTGTCCCCCTCTGCCTTTTTCAGCTTTCCATCTTTACTCCTTAGTAAGATTGTTTTACTCTGGCGTGTTATTAATTACTAGAGTATCAATTAAAGTCTCAATTAGCTAATTGAACCAAGTTTTGGAGGTACCCAACATTCATTTGTTAATGCTTAGCAGAAATTATTTCCGTTCTATGTTCCGAAGAAAAGTTAGCTATTAGTATAAACTTTCACGGCAATAACATGCTGCATTGATTGGGTAGAAATCCTTTCACCGTTGATATTTATAACATAAAGGAGTCGTTTGGTTTGAATTCGGCTTATGTCCGGGATAAGTTATAGTAGGATTAGTTATTCTTGTATTGTTTTTTATCCATTGTTTGATATGTTGTATTAAAAATAACAATTGCATAATTTTTAAGAAGAAGGTATAAGTTATCCTGGCACTAATTACCCCACCCTCTATAAGGTATAAGTTATCCCGTTATTAATTTTAATCCCGGAATAACTTATACAAGTTGCTAACCAAATAAAGTATTAAGGTATATTAAATTTTAATATCAGCACTATAACTTTTTATACCTCGTAACAAACGACCCCTCTGTATATAAAAACTTAAAACTTCGATCACACTAATCATCATTGTCTAAACTGAAAGTGGACTTATGGTCTTATTGGAAACATCTTTATAGTTGCCCTGCCTTTCCCCATAGAGTTTTTTCTCTTTTTCTTTCTTTTGATTAGAATAGGAAGGCTAACCTACATTGTAAGAACGGATCAATAACTCCACTACTTTTTGCTTTTGCCCGTCTAATGGATCAACACTGAAACAAAAGGCGGATTAAAAGGCCCTCTCTTGTAAAAACCCTCACTTTAAAGGGTTGGTTCCGGAAGAATCAATGTCCGGAATCTAAAATGCTATCGGGAAAAAATACATCCGAAGCCGTATATGAAAAGGACGCAAAAATACGTAAATTTTCATAAAAACCCTCACCTAAAAGGGATAATACTCGGAACCAAAATATTTCGAAGAAAAAAATATATCTGAGACTACACATAGTAAAGCGCGAATTGAATAACATGCGTAGAATGCTCGAGCAAATGCAAAAGTTAAAGGCGTGGATAGTCACACGAAAGTAAGTCTTAAACGACACTTGAACAAAAAAATGTGTCTTTATTTACGAGAACGGGCCAAAACGTTACAAGTACAAATGAGAAAAGAAAGGAAAAGCTAAACTGCAGCGCCTCCGGATCAGGAAGAAGAGAAGTATCTGCATTGCCGAAAAGAGTAGTTGTCTTTATTTACAAGAACGAGCCAAAACGTTACAAGTATAAATGAGAAAAGAAAGGAAAAGCTAAACTGCAGCGCCTCCGGACCAGGAGGAAGAGAAGTATCCGCATTGCCGGAAAAAGTAGTTGGTTCCGCCGATAGCTAACGCTTTCCCCAGTTTGGCCTTCGGCCTCATCGCCTTCCGAACCTTCTTCAGTTTTCGAAAACTCGAAACCAGAATCAGAAGAACCTGGAGCATCGAGACTACATCGGGAGTCCTTTTTTTGTAGCCAACTCAAGCTCTCGGACCTTAGTAATTTCGACATCAACATCAATTATACCAGCTTTGGCCTCTTCCAAAGTTTTTCTCTTCATGCTATACATGGAATAAGTTTTTTCAACAATGAGGAAAGTCGCTCGTCGCTTAAGTTCTTCTTTGAGTTGAGTAGCCTCGGCGGAAAGGTTTTCCCGGGCGGATCTAGCAGATTGGAGGCTGACGTCGAGCTCACGGACAATTGAACTAAAGAGCCTATTATGCTCAATAGTTTTCCTGTACTTCTCTTCCAGCTGGGCATGTTTCGCCTCCACGACAATAAGCTCTTCACTTTTGGAGTTCAAGGCTGCTTCCAAGTTAATCACTCTTTCAGCGGAGGCAGCCTCGAGGTCGGTTGCAGCAAGAACAACGTTCTGGACTTCTGCCCATTTGGCATTAGCCTCATCAAATCTAAGCCTCAGCGGCCCAATTTATTGTCTAAGGGTTACCACTTCTTGCTCGCTTTGCTGCAAACGAGCCTCCGAAACAATGACCTCAGCAGCTCTGGTTTCTAGTTCCGAGAGGTGGAGAACAGTTTGGTCCCGTTCCGCCAAAAGATGATCCCGTTCAGAAGTAAGTTCTTCCTTCTCACGAATCAACCTTTGAAGGCCCTTAAAAGCAAGAAAGTTGGCCTATAAAATAAGAAGAGGTAAAATTTAGAAACATCTTTATACTTGCCCTGCCTTTCCCCATAGAGGTTTTTCTCTTTTTCTTTCTTTTGATTAGAATGGGAAGGCTAACCTACATTGTAAGAACGGATCAATAACTCCACAACTTTTTGGTTTTCCCCGTCTAATGGATCAACACTAAAACAAAAGGTGGATTAAAAGGTCCTCTTTTATAAAAACTCACGTTAAAGGGTTGGTTCCGGAAGTATCAATGCCCAGAATCCAAAATGCCATAGGGAAAAAATACACCCGAAGTCGCATATGAAAAGAACGCAAAAATACGCAAATATTCATTAAAACCCTCACGTAAAAGGGATAATACTATAAACCAAAATGCTTCGAAGAAAAGGCATCCGAGACTACACATAGTAAAGCGCAAATTGAATAACATGCACAGAATGCTCGAGCAAATGCAAAAATTAAAGGCGTGCATGGATAGTCAAACGAAAGTAAGACTCAAATGACACTTGAACAAAAAAATGTATCTTTATTTACAAGAACGGGCCAAAACGTTACGAGTACAAAATGAGAAAAGAAAGAAAAATCTAAAATACAGTGGCTCCGGGACTAGGAGGAAGAGAAGTATTCGCACTGACGGAAAGAGTAGTTGGTTCTGCCGATGACTCAATGCTTTCCCCAGTTTGGCCATCGTCTCATAGCCTTCCGATCCTTCTTTAGTTTCCAAAAACTCGAAACCAGAATCAGAAGAACCTGGAGCATCGAGACTACACCGGGAGCCAACTCAAACTCTCGGGGCTTAGCAATTTCGGCATCAACATCAATGATACCAGCTTTGGCCTCTTCCAAGGTTTTTCTCCTCATGCTATACATGAAATAAGTTTTTTCAATAATGAGGGATGCCACTCGGCACTTAAGTTCTTCTTTGAGTTGGGTAACCTCGGCGGAAAGGTTTTTCCGGGCGGATCTAGCAGATTGGAGCCTGACGTCGAGCTCATGGACAGTTGAATTAAAGAGCCTATTATGCTCAATAATTTTCCTGTACTTCTCTTCTAGTTGGGAATGTTTCGCCTCCACGGCAACAAGTTATTCACTTTTGGAGTTCAAGGCTGCTTCCAAGTTAATCACTCTTTCAGCGGAGGCAGCCTCGCGATCGGTTGCAGCAAGAACGGCATTCTGGACTTCTGCCCATTTGGCCTTGGCCTTATCAAATCTAACCCTCAGCGGCCCAATTTCTTGGCTAAGGATTACCACTTCTTCCTCTCTTTACTGCAAACGAGCTTCCAAAATAACGGCCTCAGCAACTCTGATTTCCAGTTCCAAGAGGCGGAGAACAGTCTAGTCTCATTCCGCCAAAAGCTGATCCCGTTCAGAAATAAGTTCTTCCTTCTCAGGAATCAACCTTTGAAGGCCCTCAGAAGCAAGAAAGTTGTCCTACAAAATAAGAAGAGGTAAAATTTAGAATACATTCGTTCAAAGTAGAAGAAATAAAAGAGGAAGGAAGGGACGTACCGCTGTGGCATTATGCATAGCATTGTTCAACAAACACTCTCCCGAAAGTGTCTGAATCTTTTTCAGTCTTTTTCTGAAGCCAAAGGCTTCAGGTAATTAGCAAGCTCCACTGGCCATGATAGCAGGTTGCACCCGGTAGAGATCGAAAGAGTGATGTTCCTCCTCTTTTGTGGATCTTTAGAAGAAGCATCATAAATTTGCCCCAAAATCCCATGAACTGGGGACTGTGGAAGAGGAACACCTTCTTCATGGTCAGGTGCGGCCGATGGAGATGGTGTAGCAACTGCTGGTGGAAGAGTAGACGAAGATGGAAATGATGTAGCAATTGCTGGTGTTGGTGAAGGTGGAGATGAAGCTAATGGAGTTGAAGAGTGAGTAGCAGCTGCATCCAATGCAGTGCTAGTTGTTTGATGCTCGCCAACCAAAGACAGTAGGGACCCGGTACTCAGCCTCGTAGCACCGGTTACAGCAATTGGGGCCCGGAAGCGGGAATTGGCATATTCTACTAAATCAGATTCTCCCCAAAATGCTGAGACGTCATCTTCAGTTGGTGCAACTATCTCAACAGGTTGAGCATCCTGTTGAGATGATGAGGATCGTCGCCTTCTTTGTAAAGAAGCTCCCTCATCAACAGCTTCATCATCGTCATCAATCATCATGGTCTCTACGATCGGCCAAGAAGAAGAACCAGTCATCATCGCCACTGTAGACGATTCGGGGGCATTCGTCTTTGCCCTTTTATTCTTTTTCCCGGCCGCGGAGGAGCATCTTATCTTTGTTTGTTTATCCTCCGTTCGGGGACTCCGTAAAGAAATATTTGCACCCGAAACAGGACCGGAGATACCTGTTCGAGTAAATGCTTCCTAAAGCAGCCTCACTGCATCATCAGGATCAGCCAGAACGTCCTCCTCGGGGACAGCAACAGAACCCGCAGGTAGACCTAATTCCATGAACAAAGTCAGAAGAGGTCAACCAAGTTCTTCATATATAAAAATTGAAGCAAGGTAAATTAGAGTTACCGTGATTTTTGGCCTTCCACCCGTACTTAAGGGCCAGTTCTTTCCACGAACGAGTTTTGGGCGTTATGACGTCCAAAATCTTCTAAATCTACCGGTTCAAACCTTCCACCACCGGTCGGAGCCATCGAGTTACTTAAACATGCGGAAGGTGAAGAGATGATACGGCCATAGAAGAATATCTAGTAAGAGGAATATTACATATAGAACTTACGAGTGCGGTTCTAAGCAACCGGAAATGATAAAACCGTTGTCGGAA